GGACGTGGTTCGTGGTCAACGCGTTCTCAACCCTCTTTTATTTAATTTAAGTTAAGATAACAAACCGTTCTCTTTTGAAGACTTGGTATACTCCTTCAATTTTTGGTTAACGTTTTGATTGGTTGTTATAAAGATTTTTCTCTTTAGAATAGAAATCTCACATATTCTATCTATCATCTATTCACCCTTGCTTTGCTTAATGTCTTTCTGAGCTATTTTTTTTTCAAAAGTGCAAAAACAGATTGCAATTCTCATTTAAGTGGCTAAGCTTTCCGTCATGGCAGCACGATTTTTTTTTTTTTTTTTTTTTATTTACAGCATATTTTTCTTTCTAATTCACCCACGACCGTGGTCGTTTGTTTTGATCAAATTTGCCCTTGCACACTGTGAATTTTTTCCCAATTATTTTAAAGAGGTGCTTCTTATCAATTCTTCAGCTTGTAAAGTTGTAAGGTTAAGGTATTTTTCGAGTTTCTGGATATCATATACTGTCCTAACCCTCTAAGTCAAATAAGAAATTGGTTTTGGTTACCGTTGTTATTTATAAGAAAAGCTTGGTAAATTTGCCCCTAAAAGAACCGAGCAAATCGTCGTTTCGTACATTAACCTCCACTTATTTGATGAAAAACTCAATAACCGTTATTTATTGTAGTCCATATGTGCAATACAAACATGATTAATAAACTCGCTTTTCACATTTTTCCATTTCGTCGCCCACTTTCACACCTACTATAGAGTATTTACTACACCTATATTGAATATTAGGGTGTGCCAAAATTAAATCATTAAATTTTGAATTAAAATTGTGCCGTTATTTACGAAAAAAAATATGCCTGCAGAAAAAAATAAAAATTCCCATATATGTAGATATCCCCTTACATTAAGGTGTATATTAGGGCGAGCCGAAAATAGACTTACGGAAATTTAGGTTAAAATTGTGTAATTATATTCAGAAAAAAAAATATCCCTGCAATGAAGAAACAAAATATCCCATATGAATAACCCCTTATATTGGAGTGAGGAAAAAATAAACTTATGGAATTTTGGATTAAAATTGTGCCACGAGACACACAAAAAATATCCCTGTGACCACCATTTTCCATTAAAACCTCTTACATTAGGGCGAACCAAAACTAAACTTATGGAATTTTGGATGAAAATTGTGCCACCATGTACGGAAAAAAATATCCCTGTAATGTGCAAATATTGACCTTAATTTTAAAAGTTGTCGGTGAGCGTTTAAAATTTTCCATTTAAATAACCCCTAAAAAAACTGTTTTCATTAATAATACCAAAATCTTTGGGAACTTGGAATATTTGAGTAATCAACTTAATTTAAAATTTTTAAACTAAACTAAAATATTTTCATTGCAGGGATATTTTTTCGGATAAAAATTGAAAAAAAAAAATTAATGGGAAATTTTTAAATTAAGCCGAAACTGTTTTTACAGCGATATTTTCTCCCTCATGTATATATTCGTGTCAAGCTATGAGTTGGATAGGTATTTCTTTCTTTTTTTGCGCACCCTAATATACATATATACCCATATGAAGTTGCAGTGGTCAGTGCTGCCATCCATTACAGTGTGCCCACACACAATCATAATAAATACTTGAAACACACCTACACATGCACACAAACGCGCACACAGTAGTTGACAATGGCCAGAGATGCTAGTAAAAGGTTATGCTTTCCGCCTTTGATGGTTGTTGACCGCTGATGATGTTATAAGAGAAATGCATTAAAAAAATGCAATCAAATATTTGTGCCACACACACACAAAAACAACAAATAAATAATAAAAATTCTTCACACTCCCATACACCCACACATGTGGCATAAATGACATAAATGGCGCTTAGCATRTGTGTGTGTGTTCGGCACTTCGTTCGCACTCCGAAGTGGGTCAACGTGGATTATGTAATTAAAAACAACAACGTCGGATATCTGCAAATCGCTGAATTGAAGTAGAGCAGCAGAAATTGAATTCTAGTAAAGAGACAAATGCAATGCAAGAAAGAAAAATGAAAAAACTACAAAAAAAGCAATAACAAGAAAATGGAAATGGCGGCGGAAATGGAAATGAAATTATGCAAGTTATTTAAAATTGAGGCAGCAAAAAGAATAACACACACACACACACTGCATTGTTATGTTAGCACGCTCTCAGTTATTGCCGCTCAACAATGCGCACTGGCAGCATGGCGCACACCTTGGCGTATACGTGACCTGAAATATGCAGCGGAGATATTTATAATAACAATACAGTTTTATAGCACAACGGCATTGTTGCAGCCACCTATATTACACTCTTTGCACATCGGTGACAAGTTTTTATGCTAAAAATGTAAAATCAAAGTAAATGCAATCTACGGTTAATCCAACATGTTTGCATACTTGTTGCCAGAGCAGGGATTTGTGCCACAGAAAGCTGCCACAGAAAGCTTTTTGTGTGAAAAACTTGGAACTAGCTAGGAAAGTGGTTCAGATTGGTATTTGGGAGAAAAGATGGTGGATAGAGGTATATTTATTTATTAAAGGCTAAACTTATACTGGGAGTAAGGGGTATGAACGTTATTATTCACTAACAGGTTTTATTATATATGTAGTTAAGTATATAAAACTTGACTTGATTTGATTGATCAGTTTATATTGTCTGATCTAAAAATATATTAGAGATTGTAGCGTTTCTTGCATAATAATCCATGCTGAGTTTCGTAAAAATCTTCTTCTGTTTCTTCAGTCGTTCTTCCTTTTCGCTGCTCGGCGCCAATTGAAGATTCCATGCGAAGCCGGAAACTTCTTCCCCTTGCCGTTCCATCGGAGAGGAGGTCTTCCTCTTTAGAGCTGGAGTGTTCTCATTCATTCGGATGACATGACCTAACCAGCGTTAGGTTCGTTGAACTATGTCAATGTTGTCATCGCCCATGCCTCTACACCACATTGCAGGACGCAGTTTGGTCTTTTTTTGTCGAGAAAGGACTTCACTTCTCTATTGCCTACTCAGTCCGAAGTAGCAACTGTTGACAATAGTTATTCTGCTTTGCAATTGGAGGCTGACTTTTTTGCTGTTGTCAACACTGGTTCTAAGATAGATAGAATTATCTACGACTTCGAAGTTGTGACTTTCAACAGTGACGTCGGAGCCGAATCGCGGATGCATCGACTGCTTTCTTCGCTTCCAATCCATCGTTTCCGAAGCTTTGTTGTTCTTCAAACTGGTAATTGGTATTCAAACTAGTTCATGATCGGGCAATGGAACGTTTTCTCCATTGTCATGGATTGGGGAATCGGGTTCACCATCTCCTGGTGTTATGCTTTCACTGCCACTCAACTGGCTGGGAAACTTTTCCCTGCATAATTTCAGTATACTCTCGGCGTCAGTTACTACATCATATAGCGGGCTTCTACAAGAATATTCCCCGCTTTTAGAACCTTCTGTTAATCGATAACGGAGGTTCCGACAAATAAGAGAGAATAGTGAGAAGAAGACGTGTGCTCATGTTCAAATTTAAATACATAAATGAAGGCATTAAGTATTAAATTGTATAATCATTACCTGCATAGGCCCGTCTTATTGTAACCGAAAGTCTTCCAAATTAACATTCTCTCACTAAAAGTCAACCAAACCTTTCTTTCTTCTCAGGAGATGGCACCATCCTCCTTGCCAAGCTCCATTGAGCCAGCAGTTTTAGTCTGGTCGCTAAAAATTGGCGACGCTCCCGTTTGTGGACTTTTGTCAAGCGAGGCTTCCGCCTTATGTAATCCTTGTAGCTTGACCATTGATTCTAAATCAATCGGGTGTGGTCTTACCTGAGTCTATTTCAGCACTCTCTTAGTCGTTTCTGGCGTGTTAGCATGCAGCCACGATATCTGGCCAACATGCTTGTTCCCGTAGCAACATTATCGGTGGATTTTGGCGGTCTGCTTTCTGCCTAATGTTACCTATGTTTTGCCTCCTGGAGAGCCCCACATGTATCTAGCAGAAGTTACTTTGTTGGTACTAGCAATTATTTTGTATATGACAATTCAAACCACGTCATTAGCCCGCGATTTCCACCGGCTTCCCTCAATCTACTGTTTATAGAAGGTGATAGAGCTGAGCATCGGCTTAGGCACTCCTTTACTTACAATCGTCACCCTTTCATAATCTTTTTTTTTTTTTTTGTTTGCTGTCCATGCTGATAGGGTCCCCACTCAGAGCCTTTATCCATTCTCCGAAAATATCCCCAGGTTGCCTCAGTGGGAAGACCAAGTCGAGAGTTGATGCACGCTTTTATGAGGCTATGCATTCAGAGCCGACCACCGCAAAGAAGGAGTCGTCTCAACATACACTTACCATTCCTATTTAAGGACGACGTGGGTGATTGTACACTGAGGGCTGCCAGAGAGCTGACGGAGCAGTAGCGACAATTGCCTATCAACCGTTTCTGATAGGTATCACTCCATTTTTCTCAAATGACAGAAAGCCGCAACCGCCGGTTGCTCGAATGAGTCATGGGAAATTGGACTCAATTCTTTGAAAAAGTAGGGATCCTCGAAATGGATCACCGTTTAAAATATTGATTCAACGTTTTTTATCTCCTGGAAGCATTAGAAAGGTCTTATGATGTCTCTTCTTAAAGAAATAAAAAGAAAAAAAAAGAAAATAAAGAGCTAGAAAGTTAGTGTGGCAGCCTAACTAAACGCTCGCTTTATTAGCAGTAAAAAAAGTATTAACTGCTCTAAATAATACTAAAAATCGTCAAAACAGAAAAATCTTCCACAAGGTGGCTTGACCGATAGTTTGCTCACATTCTCATTGTTATTTGCTCAATATTGTTCTAAGCTTTCTCAATATAATCCATCTCGCAATAATACTACAACTCATGATGTACTCACTTTTTAATGAAACTATTAGACTTTGAGATAAAATAATATTTCTTATTTGAACAAATATTCGCAAATAATCTTTTTCAGTACCTTTTACCAACTTCTACCTTCCGCTTTTTCTTTTCAGCTCCGTGAATCTGCCCACAATAACCACAACAGCACATTCATCACTGGACTCCGATCAACAAACTCCGCAACTCAAAGCGCCACGCGATCAAGGTAAACGACCACCGCTCTACCGGCAGGACTACTCAACCTGCGTGGACTCGAGCGAAGCGCAGTCGGACGATAGTCACCTAACGCGCGACTCTGTAACACGCGAATCACAGAACGACGAACTCTCCTCGTCGACCCACGACAAACTTGACGTCAGCACACTACCGTTACCCGCGTTACCACCCAAAAAGCGACGTACACGCTTGCGCGCCAGTCCATCGCGCCATCATAGCGGCAGCAGCAGTCGCCGTGGTTACGAGCATGACACGGCTGCTATTGGCGGCAGCGACGAACAGCGACACAGCAACATAACAACTGGTGCGCTAAACTTGAAAGTAGCCAACAACGCGTCTGCTGGTCCTGGCAGTGGTAGTGGCGGCAGTTGTGGCGAAGCAACACCACACCTATCCGCCTTCCAACAGTACGTGGCAAAGCGTCGCGAAAGTCTCGAGGCATCAACGCGCAGCTTCAACGAAAAACTGGAAGCGCGTAGAATGCATTACCACATGGGTGGTGGCGGCGGTAGCGCAACGGTGGGTGGACCCGCGGCCGGCGGTGGCGCTCACATGCCCACCTATCTGTTTGGTGAACATTATTATGGTGTGCCCGCGAAAGTGACGGGCGCGCGCAAGTCGACACATGGCAATAAAGAGGAGATCTTTCTCAACAAATCCGGCTGGGTGCAGGTGAACACAAAGCGTAATAGCGATGAAAATCGCGGTGGCGTAGGCGGTGGCGCTGGTTATCGTAACGCCAGCTATGCGCATCAAAATGGCGGTAGTGTTGATGGTGAACGTGAACGCGAGCGTGAACGTGAACGCGACCTACGGCGTACAGTGCGCGTCATACAAATCGATAATACGCGACGTTCGGATAGAGCGCGTCAAGCGCTACAGCAACATCAACAATATTCGCTGGATCCAGCATTCAGTATGGGTAAATATCCGGCCAGCAAAGTGGAGGAGCTTATACAGCGCAATCAAGCGCGCGCGGGCAATGCGGTCGGTCCGGTCTTTGTGACAACGCGCGATAACGCTTTGCGTCCAGGCTATCGAATCGTTGATCCGCAGCTTGCTAGCATACTCAATGAACGTCCCGGTTTCCTGCCAGTGCGTAACTTACACGATGCCGACTCCCCACCGCCGATTACGCCCATCCTCTCGCCACCGCCCGCTTTCCAAGATAGCAGTAAATCGAAATATGTTGACCGTCGCAAAACCATACCAATACGTCAACATCAATCAGCGTTGACCGCTAACAATTTACTCGTCTCGAATGTGAGTAACGGAAGCGCCGGCAAGGGTATGGTGTTCTCACGCAGTTTTGAGTATGATGCGCGTCGCAATGTGCCAGCCGACACTTATGTCGAAACATTTTCGCGCAGTTTCGATGGTAATCTATCGGAGCGTCCACCACTGCAGCGCGAACGTTCACCGAACTTCAGCACGCTTACCGGCAATTCACCCAACTATTTGACAAAGAAAGATTCGGGCGGCGGCAGCAGCGGGAGTTTACGTAGCCGTGATAATTCGCCAAAATATCAGCACCCACAAACCACTGCCTATTTGAATGCGTCCATAAAGGAGGCGCCACCCGCCTACAGTTTGGCTAGCGCGAATGCGAATTCGAGCGCCAGCAGTCGGTTTTCACCGCGTTCGCGTCATGAGCGTTCGTTCGAGCGCTCAAAGAGTCACAATGTGTTGGTGCGCTCGCGAAAGTCACAGTTCAGTCGCGGTTCTAGCGGTGGCGCTATTGTGGGCAGCCAACAACAGCCAATGGTCAGCGTGGGTATGTCACGTTTTCGCAGTTTCGACACGACGGCGAGTCAGCGATTGAACTCATGCGATAGTGGCGCGAGATCAGGTGAGTTCGCAGAATAAGTTGTGTTCTTGTAAGAGAGAATATATGCTTCGTAGCTGTGGCTACCACTCCAAGGCTTCCAGAAGTTAAGCGATTATTACTTTTTGATTTCAGTTTCGAGTTCCTGGCCGCCTTGAAACTTTGTACTTGCATGTTATTATGTAATATAAGTAATTGCGTTCGAGAATAGTTGTTCACTTTACTTAAGGCAATATTCGTGGTTCCCTGATTCTCCGTCGTATTTTGCTTTTACACTGTCTCTAATTCAACATTTAATGTGGCCAAACCTTTTTCTATGGGATCCTTTGTAGAAAAAGACTGAACCACCGCTCTTCGATGTAGACTTTAGAGCACTACTGCATACTAATAACGTCTCTTGCTGAGTCAAATTGTATTATATAGATTATTTGATATCACAAGTTTTAACAGTTATATGACCTTTAAAATCTCGCCTTTAACTCCTTGCTATCCCATATTAGTTCTCTTTCGTAAATGTTTAATCGAGTTTATTTAAATTCAATATTTTTTCAGAGAAAAATGGACATTTTTCCTCCTAGAATTAATTAATTGATTAATTTTAGTAATACCTTGAGCGGTCTTCAGCTTCCGTCAGATTTCCATTAATTGAAAGATTCCAATAGAAAGTGTTGCCATTATGATGAACTCTATAAACGATCTTTGTGCTTTAGGTATTCTTTAAAACCCCCATCGACTGCAAGGGCACAGAGAATGGCGAATACTTATTCCAAGTTTACCTGGACTTACCCAAGATATATGTATATATGTGCATGACTCTAACTATCACTTTTTATGCTAATGAATCCCAATTGTCTAACAATGGTATTTACGATTCTTTACCACTGTAACGACAAATTTCCTGGGCCTACCGTTAGTTAATTTCAATGAAAGTCATATCCAAGCTAACCACCCAAATGGAGATTCTAAAGTGTGTTTTATTTCGAGGTTCCCTACTTTATTAAATTAAAAAAAAACAAACACTACGAATTTAATGGAGAATGTCATTCATTTCATTTATTTTCACTCGAAAGAAACTTTTATTTTTTGAAGATACTTTCAAATATTTGCTGCGGCTACGTCTAAAATGGTCCATCTATGAGTCCAATTTTCGGTGACTCATTTGAGCATTTCGACTTTTAGCTGGCGAATGACACGAGTAATGTTTCGTTCGGAGGCCCGAATCGAAGCTGGACTGTACGCATAGGCTTTAGACTTTCCATATCCCCACAGGTAAAGGTCTAACGGGGTAATATCGCACGATGTTGATGGCCAATCGACGCGGCCAAAAATGTAAAATTATCTGATCATTGAAGTGTTCTCTCAATAAATCCATCGTACTATGTCTRGGAAGCAGCACCTTCCTGTTGAAACTAGATGTCGCTGATATCACGAGCTTCAATTTCAGGCATAAAATAATTGATTATCATGGCGCGATAACGGTCGCCATTAACAATTACCTTCTCAAATATGGATCAATGATTCCACCGGCCCACAAGTCACACCAATCTGTTTCTGAATGAAATGACAGCTATTGTATCTCTTCAGTTTGCTCTTCGTCCCAAATGTGGCAATAATACTAGTTTGTATGACTATTGAGTCAGATGAGACCCATCATCGCTAAACAAGATTTGGTCCGAAAACGTCAGATCTTGTGGAAACTTTTCAAGAGCCCATAGAGCGAAGCGATGTTGCTTGGGAAGCTGTATTTTGTACGCTTTTAATAATCTGGATGTAAACTGTACCAAGTGGTTTCATACATTAGTCCGAGTTGATGCGTACGGCGCAGAAAGTCCACAGTCTTCGTGAACATTCTCAGCTAGGTTGCTATATAATATATTCTTCACTGCGTGTTGGTCTATTTGGTCGAATATTTTCCAAGGGTGAATGCTGGTTTTCAAGATGGGTGCTGATGTTGCGAATAGTATGCTCAGTAGGCCGATTGTGTTGCTATAAGTTGCGCCTGCCCTTCCAAGGCCTTCCGTAAGATAACTTCCATAACAACCAACCTTAACTATATAACCGTTACAGTATCAACAAAAACTTAAGTAGAAAGAAAGCTTTCCCAATGACTCCTAGAAGTAAAAGAAAAATTGCTAATGCGCTCATTTAATGGTTTGCCTGAAACGCTTATAAACTCAGTCCAAGCTAAAAACTTTCCTAATTGTTCAATTAGTGACTCAATTATTGACTTATTTAGATTTTAACTTGATACGAGTAGTTGCTTCAATTCATGACCTACCAGAAACTCTTATAAACTGAATACGAGTTTAACACTCTCTTTATTAAATTTGTATGACAATTAATGCGCATGTGGTTTAATTAATGTACGTCACTAAAAGTCAATTTATTTTAACCTGAGTTAAAAAATTGCATAGATCATTATCATAATCATTTAAGGACTTACCTAAGACGTTTTTAACTCAAAACGAGTTGAACTCTTCCTTAATAGTTCATTTGATTCTGCAATTTTGCTTCCTTAATACTTCAATTATTTAACACTTAATAGTTCAATTATTGACACAATTAATGCGTTTAAATTTTTAACTCAGTAGGAGTTTAAGGCTTTTTTAATTACTCAATTATTCATTTAATATACTCGCGAAGTAGACATTTAATATACAGACAATATTTGAAGAAGCGCTCCATTTTAACCTACTCTTTTTGTAGACCTGATAATTTAATGGTTAAAATATCATATACTTGAAAGCAAAATAATTGGCTCAGTTAAGAGCCTGTTTGAAACGCTTATAACTCTGCACGACTTCAACACCCGCTTAATTATGGCTCAATTAGCAGTTATAAGGTTATAACTATTGAATCAGCAGCTTAATTTACTCCTTCACTCTTTAATTAACAAACTTTACTAAAGAAGCACTCGCATTAAGCTTGCTCTTTTTGCCTGGTTCGTGTGATCTTTTCTGGTATATGCCATCAATTCATTTGCACAGTTTCATTGGAAACTCAATATTTTATTGCAGCTTTACTGAACATGGAAAAAGGCAATTGAAAAAGTTTGCAACTTAACTTTAAATTATTTGAAATGCATTCATTGCAGCCGAGCCGCGTTGTGCATGTAGCCGGCATAGCGCGGCGTCAGTTGCTGCAAAGCTTCACGAAAGTTTCAAGGATTCGCTCATTCGAGCTTAAATCAGCTCATATGCACATAAGTATGTATGTCTCTATTATATTATATAAGCATATATACGACTCCGATTTACGTATAAACGCATGCTGCTGCATTCATTCATCGCTGACTACCGTTAGATACCCAGATCCGTTTTATGTGCGTGTGCAATGAAGCGCCACAACGGAATGAATGCGAGCATACTGTCAAAGTTCCAGCGTTGCTTTGACAAATGCAAAACTCTCGTCGACTTTGGCGGAATGTGTAGGTCGTCTTGGCAGCGGAAGTGCATAGGGATTATATTAGTGAGCTATACGTGGGTATACGCCATAAATACAGGTGTGAAAAGTGACTAATTTTCGTTTTTTACTTCGTTGCACTTGGTTCTTAAATTCTTAAAAGGATAAGAGTCAACGAACGTTTAAAAAAGTTGGAGATTAAAGTTTAAATTTTTGCAATTCAATAATTTTGATAAATGTAAGAAGGATTCTGCTGAAATAGAGGGAACGAGAAACGCTAATATGCGTGAAGATGTTGTTATCGTAATAATTTTCTGGAACTCAGTCCTTTGCCGAATAAAAATCCGAGACTATTCCACTCGTTGAGTGAACTGATAGAAAGTGGTTTCTTTACTCTGCTATGGAGCCTCTTTGCTCCTGTTCTTGCTTAATTTATACACAAGACATTATTCGTCAACGATTCTAGGAGCAAGGAAGACTGGGTTACATCCCGGTGGCCTGGAGACCAGTCAGAGGCACAATCGTCTCGAAGGCTGGCAGAGGCTCCCATCTTACGGCCAAGGACTTCAGGCTCATCAGGCTCTCATCCTTCTTACTAAAGACTCTGGAGAGTCTGATGGTCCGGTACATAAGAGGGCGCATTCCGAGGGTCTATTTATCGGTAGCGCAATATGCTTATTGTAAAGACAAGTCAGTAGATACTGCCCTGCTTAGTACCGGGTCATGGCTTGAGCAAGCCATAAGGCTTAAGGAATTTACTGTTCGGACCTTTCTTGATATAGAAGAAGCTTTCTATAACGTCCTCCCGGAAGCAGTCTGAACTGATGTAGACGGCCTCAAACATCTCATCTTCATTTCATGGAAGCCGTATATTGTAGAGAGAGCAAAAAAAACTCTACGACACCGTAGTCAAGCCCATTAACCTTCTTTTGTCACAGTCTCTGCGAGCGCCGTTTTTCTTCTACACACCACCGAGTCCAAAAATTCCATATTTTTTTGATTGTAAATCCTAGAAATAGAATACAATTCGTAACCTTCGTTAATTCTTCCCAACCACGAATCTTCCAAAGCCAGCACCCGAAATGTACCTGCAAGAATCTATATATTTTTTAATACTAACTCTTAATTATCGCCATATCACATATTTTGTTTACAGATCTCTCTAACGACGAATTGGATTGCGATGACGACGAAGGTTCGAATGAATTCCTCACCGCCAATTATCATCACAGCATATCACCATTGAAAACGCAACGACAACGTTCGCTAACGCCCGAACGTAACGAATCGCATAGCTCATCGAGTAGCATACGAAAGCAACGATCGCTAACACCCGAATCCCGATCACTCACGCCAGAGGATCGACGACGCAAAGGCGGTTCACAAGCATCGTTAATGGGTTCACGACAGAATTCGAGTTCACGCAGCAATACGCTCGAACGTAAACAGCGTTTAACTGAAGGTCAACCCGCAACGAATATATCACGTAGCTCGTCAAGTTCAAGTTACAGTGGCGGCGGCGGTGGTGTTGTAAGTGCTGAACAACTTGATGGCGGAGTTATTAATGTCAGTGCTGCGGTTGGCAGCGTTACTGGCATGCCTAATACCGCTTTGGTTGGAGCTACTGTCGTTAATACAGGTATGGTGGCTTTGACCGGTAGTGGTGGACGTTCACAGCATCGTCGGTCGCTGGGGCGGAATGCCAAGCAGGTGGATGAGCATCGTATACGACGTTCGAGGTGAGTTTGGAAATTAATATTCGCTTGGTAGTTCACAGTTTAGTGTACAATTTCGGTCTGACTGGGCCAGCTATCGTAAGCTAACTCTTTTTCCAGCAACCGCTGGCTATAAGTCAGACTTTCTTTAGAGATATTACAACTTTGATGTTGTACAGTACTTATAAGGCTTTACCAAAGTCTTTTTCATGCAACCGATGCTCAAAGCTTGTTTCGAGGTTGTACGAGCCGCGTATAGGCTTATTTAGTTTTAGTCTCTTAACGTATTTGGACCTACAATAAATCTCGTTAGCACTCCTTAACCTTTCCAAACCTTTACTTACAACCCGCAGGTCTCTACAACTCAGCGAACGTTCACCGAACCGTTCACACAAAGTTATCGTGTCCATGGGACAATCACAAGGGCCCGCCGTTACCTATCACACACCCAGCGTGCAGTCCACCTACCAACAAGCCGGCGTACGGATCAGCAACGGAAACGCCATGCCCGCGCGTCCACCCATACGCACCAGCAGCAAATCGCAGTCGCTACTACTGAGCGGCAACAACACGAGTGCCGGACGAACGCGAAATAATGATATCGACAAAAGTCGCTCCTTCGATTTCGACTACTGCAATTACAGCACACAAGTGGCGCTTAAGGGACACAGTCACGCCGTGAGCGGCGGCGGCAGCGGCAACAACCCAAACGTGCCGCTTCGCTTGGACTTCGACAAGAGTCGCTCTTTCGATGAAGACTACCGTGAACCACTGAATGCGATCAGCAATAATATGGCCACCACCAACGGCAGTGGCATGCGTTATCTGCAAGCAATCGCCGACCCCGGCATGGGTGGCAACACTGGCAGCAATAATAATAGTCGGAGCAGTCGCTTGCGACGCTCTTCACCCGTTGGCACGGGTAGTGGTGAACGCAACTCACGTTCACCACAATCGTCGGGTTCATCATGCAACAATCTCAATATACCACGACAATCGACAAGTCCGCAAAATTACGGCACACGACTATGTGATCATGAACTCACCTACGATATGTTGCGTAAATCACTCGATCGTTCACCGATTATGGATTTTCGACGCGGCGATAGTGGTGAATATGATTTGCCGCCTGCGTTGTTGCGTAATCGCGAAACGATCAATAGCGGCGGCAATAGCGAATTGAATTTCTTCAATAACGATCATATCTACGAACAGCCGACCACAAGCAAAGCTTCGGTGAGTGCAACAGGCAGCTCGTTGAAGCAGCAACGTTCACTCGGCCGCACACACAGTCCCAGCGAATCGCAGTACTCGCTGGAGCGTCAACACACCAACACAACGGGACGTGAGAGCCAGCTGACGCCGGAGAGCGCAAGCGGTGCTGGCGATTACCGTGGCGAGCATATCTATCGGCATCCGCATACGCGCGAATCGTCGCGAGAGAGCGCTGCACGCAGCGGTGGCAGCAGTCGCAACAGGTATTGAAGAGCTGCTCCAAGCCTTCTTGTCCGCCGAATTTAGTTAGATTTCGGGAAGGTGCAAACTAATAGAGAGTGCACGTGGGGTTCATATGCATGAGAATCGGTGACGGCGAGCTCACTTAACATTAACTATGACTGCCTTATCCCGCCTGTTTGTCTGCCTGTCTGCCTGCTTGCCTGACTGCGTAGCTGCACATTGTTAATATTAACCACAGAATAATAATACTAATGTCTAAGCAAGAGGGAATATTTTAACCACTAACCGTTATTAGCACGTAGTTCTTGCTGTCGCTCATTAACTCACCTCGGACTCGTATGTGTGTGAATGTGCGTATGTACAATTGTAAAATTAAAGAGAGTTAGAAATTACTCACCACAGCTGTGCAGCATAATAATAATCATTATTACCACGTTACCACACTCTCTCCCCTCTCTCTATCTCTCTCACGCACTCACCACCCTATTCGTTTTCTCATATGTTTGCTCGTCCGCGCATTATTATGCGTAATTTTCGTAGCATATGCACTGAAAGAGCAAACTCACCACCGTCACTAAGATTGCAACTCGTTAGTATGCACGAATGGTATGTTACGAACGAAAATACAACGCTGCAAGAATTTACCATCACCAAAACGAAAAAAAGTGCAAGTACAGTAAATAAGCAAAGTAGTGTAGATATCGGTAAAAAAAAATATGTTGAGAATATAAAGCTGGTGTAAGTGATCAGAGATAACTGCATTTTCTGTTGAAAATTGTGAAAATAATACTGAAAACCGCTGTGGTGAATATGTCTAAAGTAACTAAACTTGTTGTGAATACAAAGTCACGGTACTAAAATCTTAACCATGAACTCTTCGCAATATAAATAACTGTTTTTAGACGTTAAAGCAGTGTTAGGCTCTAATAAGTGTGGTGAATAACGTATGTAATTAAGTGGCAACGCTACGTATGCTGCAAAAAGACTGCTTTAATGAAAAATGAAATATAGTAACTCGAAAAAGAAGTAAATATGAACATAATTTAAAAAACTAAGCTCACAACAATAATTGAGTACTCGACTTCAGTGATTACAGTTACGTAAAAAATTAATATTTATAAAAAATAGTAACCAAAAAATTAAAATAAATAATATAAAGTTAAAATAACACTTAAATTAACTTTTACATAAGTGACTAATATAAGAAAAAAATTAAAAATTAAATTTAAATAAAAAAAACACCAAAATCTTATAGAAAATTCAAAAATATAAAATTGAAGCATAAAACAGTATAAATATAGTGCTAGTTATAAGAAAATTAAAAAAAAATCATAAATTAATATGACAACTATTAGCCACTTTAAAAATGCAATAAAGCAATAAATTTCAACTGCAAAAGCTCCAAAAATCCCCTAAAAAATCAAGTAAACTTCGTCAGCACCACTAACCCTCAAAACTGTCAAAAATGTGCACTTTTAATTTTCTAAACATTGTTTGAAATTTTTATATATTCCCCAAAACATCAATCAAAGCATTTGAATTGTAAATGAATTCACCACTAATGCTTACCGAACTCACCACTAACAAATCAGCGTCTGTATATTATCGTTATAAAAACGCATTGTAAGTAAAATTCATGTATGACGTTCAAAACTCACCACAAAAAAATGTTTTCAAAACTCACCACTAAAATCAAATTTTTCAAAAGCTTCCACTGTATGCACATGAACTGATTTAAATTCACCAAACATGACTAACCCAAAATAAAATTAAAAGCACATATGCTGCTGTTAAAACCCTAATTAAATTAAGTCACGTTCATATACTCACCACTAATCCGCCTTCTAAGTATAAGTCATATGCTTTGATCGAGATTCACCACTCCGTGCACACTAAACAGCATTGTAGATGTTCATATTGGCAATGAAATGGAAATAACGGTATATAGAGTTCCCCACTAACACTAATAGTCACCACGCACAACCTGCTAGGTGTATTACGTAAATTGATTGTGCCTAAATCGACTTCTACTTCTCTTGTTCGACAGTCAAAAATTGACAAACGCGAAAACGCCCACAGCAAATAAGTCAACAACAAAACCAATTACAACAACAGCTGTCAGGGGCAATAAAAATCCCTTAAAACGTCAAGAAGCAGTATTGAAGTCGCAAACCACCTGCTCATTTTGGCCGCATTGTGGCGCTTGCAATCCGAATGCCACGCCCCACACCCAACGTCAAATGTCATTGCAGGAACAAAAACAATTGACAATGAATTGTCAGCGCGCAGCCGAAGTTGATGTGCCACTACGTCGCTATCATTCGGCACACGCGTCTAACGGTACAGCCACCGAGACAGTGTCGCAAATGAGAAGAAGTGGGCGTGAAAAATCACCATATCCACCACACTTCAAACGTCACAATTCCAACATTTCCACTGTCAGTGTCAATTCTAATTTCAATGTGGCGGGAGTGGAGCACAAAAATAACGGTACATTGGCAGGTGTCACCCGTAGTAAAACGCAGTGGACACTTTTATGTAGCGGCGCTACACTTATGGATTGTATAGAAGAAACGCATGCGAAGCCAACAAGAACTACCGCAGATAACAAAAACACTAAACGTGGACTAACAATGAAGTCGGCTACCACCGACGCCGGCTCAAGTAAAAATGACACTTTGACAAGTCGTGCTGCGGCGTCGTTTGCAGTCAAATCAGCCAGCATGCCGGTACCTGGCACTTCGTCGATATTTTTAGGCGAATGCGAGATGCCAATAACGCGCGAACGCGAAACATTCAAGCGTTATAATCAAGACAGGGAAGTGCGCGAATGTGTAAGGGAAGTGGTAGGCGAATGGGTGTGGAAACGCGCGTCTGATAATGCTCGGCAACCCATTCGTCGTGCAACTGCCAGTGTCGACGACTACCGAACGATACGAGATAAACGAAACAACGAATACATCGATTACAGCGCGATGCGATACAGAAGGCAGTCCGAGGATGTTGGACTCTATGGGTAAGTAGCAGATTTGTAGATAATATATACTAATTCTTAGAGGAATCATATAAGTAAAGGGTGCTCCATTTCGAGGTGCCCTACTTTTTAAAACAAAAAATAGTTAAACTTCAAATTTAATGGGCAATTGCTTATTATCATTTGAAAAAACATTTTTTGGTATTTATTTTTTATATATTGTCTCTTCTAAATGTTGTCTCAGTTGGTCCATCCATTGAGTCCAAATTTCGAAGACTCGTTCGAGAATTTGTACTGGTAACTGACGAAGGACATGCGTGATGTTTTGCTCCAAGGCCTGAATCGAAGCGAGATTGTCAGCATAGTCTTTATTTACTTTACAAATCCCGAGCTTCAATTTCAGGCATCAAACAGTCGTTATCATAGCGTGATAACGGTCCCTATTGATGGGCTATATGATATAGCTCAAAAACGTGAGCATTCTTCAAACTTTCAAGAACCCACAGAGCGAAGCGACGTCGCTTGCGAAGGCCAAGCTGCTTCACTTCTTGCACAATTTTTGTTTTGTACGCTTTCAATTTACGATCTCGACGTAAAATGCACCAAGTCATTACATACGTCGAATCGACTCTCCACTGTCTTCGTGTACGGATACACCTTCAGTTAGTTTATCCAATAATGAATGCTGGATCTCAAGATGTGTGTCAATAGTACTAAAGAACACCACCGGCTTAGTGACCAAGAATAAATTTAGCCATTTTAAATACTCTATTCTGAGGAGAAACGTATTCTCTGGGTGCGCTCTGTTTCGACCGAAACAAATAGTAGCCTGGCAGGCCGCTGTTTCTAAAAAGTTTTTAACCGGTCTTGAAAAACAGATCCGATCGTTGTCGTATTGGAAAATTACAAGCGTTTCAGTAATCGCTCGCTCCAGTTGGATGATTTATTGTCGGTAGCGTCACCTATTGATAGTTTCACACCGTTTTATGACTTCATAATACGAGTACATCACTCTTATCCCACCGTGATAAAGATCATTTCCTTGGTATCATGGCTATTCGTCTATGCCATTAATTTGACTGGTTTTCCGTCATCGAGTTATACTTCTTGTTGTTCATCTTCAAACTTGTTTGGTTGTCCACCTTCTTCGAGTCAGAAATATGTATTATCGAAAGTTTGGTTTTATTTTTGGAAAGTTTGGTTTTATTTTAAAAAAGTGTGAACCGATTCGATGGCGTTGTTCGTTATATTGATAGTTGCATGTCGATGTTCTAGAACCAAATCTTTTTTTGAATCTTTTAATATTATATAATATTATTTGTGAACTACGTGCAAAATAGGAAATAAAAAGAACGGAGGCGTGAAGATTATGATATTTTATTTATATTTTCAAAACATCTAGAAATAACTTCCTTTAGAGTTGCCATCTTTTAAACAAAAAGGGAACTTTAGTACTATTTTAAGAATCAGAAGAGGTTGCCAGTTGTATATAGTTTATTTGAATACGACATTTATATGTATTTAATATGCGACCAAAAAAGTTTAGCACAAGTTTTATTAAACAGGGTTGTCAGTATAGTATACATAAATGAGTATCGAATATTACGAAAATTAAAAAAATTTTTGTGGCGATGCTTTGTTCCAAAATTATATCAATAGGGTTGCCATATATTTTGAATAAAAATTAATATTAAAAAAAATTTCACGCGTAGGCAAATCTGTATTCATTAATATTCGATACAAGAGGTGTAGTTAACATATTTTTGAACAGAGTTGCCAACTACAGCAAAATTATAGACTTACGAAAGATTAAAAAAAATATTTTAATTTCTTTAATATTACAAAAATGAAACGAAAATTGGTTACTCAAATTTGATTTGGAATTTTTTGTGACAGAGTTGCCACATAATTTTTAGAAAACATGTTTAAGTTAACTTTATATTGAAACAGTCTTCCCATTCATCATCCCATCATTTGCAATTATTTTCTTATACAAAATTAAAATATAAACTCGTTTAGGCGAATATTTTGGCCGCCATATAAGCAAAAGTCTCCAAAGCCACAACAAACACACGCAAGCGCTGTCAATTGTATTAATTGCCATTTACTTGCTTACATTTTTCAACAAACCACAACAAACTGCCCGTATACACTTGCTCTTCGGTGGGTTCAATATACATTTCTCGCCCTTTTGTATACTTGCTTCACGCACACATACGTATTTATGTTTGTATGTGTGTATATAAGTATGTTTGCTAGCCATTTCCGCCAAAGTCCTAAACAGAATTGTTTCATTGAAATAGTGGCGGCGCATTAAAAACTCCGCAAAACCGCTATAAAACATTCAAACACGTTGGAGGATATAGATATATAGACATGACGGTACACAAAAACATACAAACATACATACTAACACTGCAGCATAAAATTCAAAAATCCATTTGTAAAATCGCCAACATTTCATTTTTCAACTTCACACGCCAACAATGGCATACATACCATATAAATATATGTATATACGTATACATATGTATATACTACAAGCATTTCTAACGAATTACAAATTTTCTATTTGTATTTGCAACAACTATGCATTGGTAGCGGCAACAAGGTGGCAAATGCTTGTAAAACTAACAAATCTAGACCAGCAGTTGCAGTTAAAGTAATGGCAACAGCAACAACAACAACAACAGCAACAACAAAAACCGCAACATCAACATCAGTATTTGGTAAACATGCAAAACCATTGCCAACAAGAACAACCAGCGCAACTGCAACGTGCGGCATGCCACATTTGAGAGAACGCTATTGGCGCAGCAGCTCACTGCCGAATATATGGTTACCGAGTCACGGGTGAGTACAGAGAATATTAAATATACTTTCACATTCAATCATTTCGAGATATTATATACATATACATACATACATATATGTGATACAAATGTACGTCTGTGAATTAATCAAATTGAGTGTGCTGTATGGATAAATGACGATCCATATTTGACTTGTCGTACGAGGAGGCTAAAAATTTAAATGTGAAAGCTTCAAAGTTTTAAAAACCTTTTACAAGCAAGAGCTTTCTTAAATATACAGATTTTAAAATATATAACATCTGATCAAATTTTACCCGGATTGACATAAAAAATACACTTTCATATATTTTAATACAAATCTTTATTATCACATACAAAATAAGCTCCTGAGTCAATATCAGCTTGTCAATGTTTAATCCAGTTATTCATACATTTGCTTTTGCACCTTCAACGAACGTTAGTTTTTTTCGGTTTTGAATCGTTTTTGGGGCGCTATTTACTAAATTCTTGGCCGGTTTCCTTGTGTTAGATGAATGTCGTGTTTTCAAAATGTTTTCAAAAATTCGTAACGTTGACTCATCATTAGTTGTCATCGTCCATGCCTCAGCACGATATAACAGAAAGGGGATGATGACAGGCCTCTACTACTCAATTGCTTACTCAGTGCGAAGTAGCACCTGTTGGCAAGAGTTATTCTGCGTTGGGTTTTGAAGCTGACATTATTGTTGGTGCTAATAATGGTTCCAAGATAGAGGAAAGTATCTACGTCTTCAAAGTTATGACTGTCAACAGTGGCGTGAGAGCCAAGCCGCGAGTGCGACGACTGTTACACAATACGCTCGATAGATCCCTATATGCGATGTAAGAGACTTATCCCAGGGTAGTTGGCGCAGATTGTGGGGACTCCCGTTTTGTGGATTGGGTAGAGAACATTTAAATGACAATTGTCGGGCATGCTTTCGTTTGACTATATTATATAAAGAAGCTGATGCATACTCCTTTTCAGTTCCTCGCCGCCGTTTTGAATAGCTCGGCTGACAATCCATCAGACCCCGCCGTTTTGTTGTTTTTTAGACGGGTAATCGCTATTCGAACTTCTTCAAGGAGCACCGATATCAGATCAGATATATCGACGACTTGTTCTCCGAACTACAGAACTATACGACTTAACTCCGTCAAGATACCTTCTCTTCCTACTCGACCTTAATATACTTCATACCCCTGCAATCTCTAAGAAATTGCTTGGTTCCGCTGGAACGAAGTCAACGTTCTGGTTACGAGAAGCGAACTGCTTATTAGCGATTGACTGGCTACGATAGATTTTTGAACTCGTCAAAATGTTTCTCAATATTTCTGTATTGCATTGCTATTAATACTTGTACCGACTTCTTTGCTTTAAATGTGTTGGCAGTTAGGTCAGAGTAGTATGGCTGAAGTTGTATGCTAAGCTTCAAGATATATTAAAAAGTCAGTGAAGGTTTGATTTCATTATTGTCAGGGGTCTAAACGTTAAGGTCTTTTATGTTGAGAGAATTAAATTTATGTTTTTTGTGACTTTTGGCTACCAAACACCTCAAGCACATGCCGCATAATTTCATTACGGTCTCTGCAAGCTTTTTGCACTGTTATGCAAAAGTTTAGTTGATCATAACTTTACCGCCATTTATGGGTAGTAAACTGTCGGTGTCCTTGAAGTTAAAAATTACTCAAGCCCGACTTTATTACGATTTACGGCTGCTACATGAAAAGTTTAGTACTACCGAAGCTGAAAAGTATTCAAAGTACAGCGGCATGGCACTGCGTTCAAACAATACAATAACTAACTTCTTTTTATTAATCTTCAGTCTAAATTCTACATCATACTACGCACCATAAGTCAACTAATAAGCTCTGCACCTCTCATTCTGCACACAAAAGAAGAAAAAATATATATGATTTAACTTTTCTTCCTCCGACTTATTGTCTGTCATAGAAAAGTTTACGGTTTGGTGTAAAAAAGTACAGGGGTTCTAAATTGAACAAAAATCAAATGTTTAACAATGCAAACTTTAGAAAAGTGTTGAACGCTTTTAATTTTCTTGCCAAAGGACAACGGACAGACAATAAACATCACAACGGCACCTGCCATCACTTGCAGGCGCTGCTGCTGCTGTTGTTGGTACTGCAAACGAAAGGCGAGCGAGTTGTCAGTTTATTTTTCTGCTTTTCCACTTTTCGTTTTCTTTTTCTGCTCGCCTTTTGTTTCAGCAGTTTCGCCTTTTCTGCTGCTGGTAACTTAATGCGATTGAAAGTTGTATGCCGTGTTTTTGTATGAGTGTGTATGTGTGTAATTTTTTCAAATGTTTCGTTAGACAGTGTGAAGAGTGAAAGTAATGGGATACTTTCGAGAGAGCGACCAAACATTTAATGGCTTAATGCACTGCAATGTAGCAGGAAGCTTCGTAGAAAATTTTCAAATTTTTGAAAATCATGGCGCAAAATTTTCAATAACTAAAATTTATGCTAAATCTAAATTAACTAACTTTGATTGTCCCGCAACCTTATAAATATTTTCGCGTTGAATCAAAAATTTCTAAATGAATTTAGTCCATTAAACTAACAGATGGCAACCCTACCAAAATTTAAAAAAAATCTGTTTCAGCATCAGTCTCTACTTGTTTAATAACTGCATTATATGTATAATTGAGTATTTTAGTTTAATTTCATTTTTCTAATCTTCCTTAAAAATATTCACATGGCAACCATGGAAAAAAGCACTACAAAAATTAATTCATTTTTTTTCAGAATTGCGCTCAATGACTTATAATTTTGTTCTCATGCTCCAAAATGCATGTTTTTATTCTTGAGTTTATTAAAAATAAACTTGCAGCCCTGCCATATTGCTTAAATGCATATTTCAAAGCAAATTGCTTTTGCAACACCTTGGTTTGTTATGACATTGATATTCTCGAATTCTACAATTCAATATTGAAGTTAACATACTTAGCATATTAAAATATTTTTATTGCGATTCAAGTACGTGGCAACTCCAAAAAATAACAAAATTTATTTTTGTATAAAACGTTCAGTAGCAAAAAATTATTATAAATCTAATATTTCAAAAAAACGGTGGCAACACTTTGTTTTGACCCTGATATTTCGGAATATTTTTATTTGGATTCAAGTAAGTTCGCAAAATTGCCACAAAACAAAAAACAAAAATAGTTTTTTTAATAAAACGTTGTTAACAAAAAAATCTAGAATTAAAGTTTCAAAAAGGTGGCAAGTCTTTGCTCTGACATTGATCTCGAACTCTACAGTCCAACATTGAACTTATTTAATTTATTTCAAAAACAGGTGGCAACACTTTGTTTTGGCATTGATGTTCCCGAATTCTACAGTTGTTATATTGAATCTACATATACATATATACAAATATACCTCGCATATTTCAATATTTTTATTCAAGTAGTGGGCAACTCTACAAAACCCAAAACAATTTTATAAAACGTTGTTATCAGTAATAAAAAAAAATTTACATATATCTAAAATCTCAAAAAAGGTGGCCACAATTTACTTTGAAATTATTATTCTCGAATTCTGCAGTTCAATATTAAATTTATCACACTTTACACATTTGAATATTTTTGTAGCGTTTCAAGAAGGTGGCAACTCTACAAACCCAAAAAAATTATATTATATTATTTTTTATAAAATGTTGTTACAAATAATGAAAAAAATTATATCAAAAGTTTCAAAAAGGTGGCAACACTGCTGCTTCAACATTGCTATTCTAAAATTCTACAGTTCAATATTAAACCTACATATTTGTATATACATACCTTGCATATATAAATATTTCTATTGCATTTCAACTAGGTGGCAACTTGGCAGCTAAAAATTCTATTCTCTTGTTTTTTATAAACTTAAAATAAATAATAATAATTAAAACTTAAATTAAAATTAAAATTAATTAAAATAAAAATAAAAATACAAAAACGGTGGCAATATTCTCTAAAAATATTTCTAATCTTTGTATGACTGAGCATAATTTAATATTTCTTTAATTTCAAAGTAATTTTATTTCAAATCAAAATTAATAACATTTCAATACGGAATTATATTCAAATTACTTGGAAGAATTCTGACAAATATCTTCAAACATATTTTGGCATACCACGGTTCGCACAGGAAGCTGGCAACCAGCTACTTACAGTAACTTAAAATATCGTTCTCGACCAAAAAATGAAATTAAAAAGCAAACATTTTCGCGCAAATATTTTTTAACACTTTGGACTTAGATTAACTCATCAAGTGTGCGTCGATAAATTTAACTAAATTTTTGGCGCTGAAGCTCCATCAAGGACCAGTGTATATCGATGGTATAGGAAACGCAATCGAGGTCGTAGCTCATACCACGACGAATTTCATTAAAGTAGCGCAAATAGGCAGAAGAAGTTACTTAAAAAATGATAAACATAGCTTTCCATTTATCGCTTCAAAACAGACATTATTGAATTGAACAAAAAGGCTTTCTCCAAAAATATCAAGATTAAAATTACCTCATTGTTCTAAAAGGGATTTAAAGCTACATTGCCAACTAAATTCAAATCAACTGAGCAACTGTCAAGTTAATTTCACTCGCCGAATTGAGTGAGTAAAACAGTAAAAGCTTTAGCTGTCAGAAAGCTGACAGCTGCACGATTTGGGGGAATAAGCAGGAGATTGACTGTCTGCGAAGAGATGACTCTTGAACATGCCGACTTACTTACTGATGGAATTGTGCAGGCATGAGGAACTCAAATATATTAAAAAAAAAAAAAAAACATATACACAATACAATATATTACCGTTTACTTTAGGCGATACGGTTAGAGGGTGCGAGTGAGCTGTCAAAATGACAACTGCTGTTGATTGTTCATTTTAAGTGTGCATTTTATTGTTGTAGGTTTTCACTTCCAAATTTAGTTTTCGACTTCCATTTAAATTACTAAATGTTAATTCTAGACAGTTGCTAAGCAATTTGCCACGCACACTAAAGGTAACCCTTATCAAAGTGTT